CTCCCAGGGGCAGGTTACAACAACACCTTTCCCTATTCTTGGGGAGGCTTCTCTGACATGGACTTCATGGTGGATGAGAGCGGGCTCTGGGCCGTGTACACCACCAACCAGAATGCAGGCAACATCGTGGTCAGCCGGCTGGACCCGCACACCCTCGAGGTCATGCGGTCCTGGGACACCGGCTACCCCAAGCGCAGTGCCGGCGAGGCCTTTATGATCTGTGGTGTGCTCTACGTGACCAACTCCCACCTGGCTGGGGCCAAGGTCTACTTCGCCTACTTCACCAACACGTCCAGTTACGAGTACACGGATGTGCCCTTCCACAACCAGTACTCCCACATCTCCATGCTGGATTACAACCCCCGGGAGCGGGCATTGTACACCTGGAACAACGGCCACCAGGTGCTCTACAACGTCACACTCTTCCACGTCATCAGCACTGCTGGGGACCCCTAAGGGCTGCCATAGCTCAGGCTGCCACACAAGGGCCACTTGGGCCCGCTGGGGGTCCTTTCCACTCTGCCTGTATCCCTTAAAAATTATCTGTCATGTCCTCTCTCTCCTTTCCTGTACTTCTTTTTCTCTCCCCACCCCTTTCCCCCACCACTTCCGTTTTCTACCTCTGTATTTCTATCAATGCATTTTTTTTTCATTTTTGTCCCTTCTCCTTTATTGATCTCTCCTTTTGATACTCCACTTCTTTGTCTGCCTTTTTTTTGATGTCCGTCTCTCTCTGCCTCTTTTTATCGATGATTCTTCAGTTCTCTTTCCCCATCTCTGCTTCTCTTTGGGCTCTCTTTCTCTCTCCTTCTGTCCTCTCTGCTTCCCACTCATTCCCCTCCCCTCGCCCCCACCCCTCTTCAAAGGAGTTGAGTGCATGGATCTGTTCCTTTTTTTATTTACACTTTTTCTTTCCAGGGTTGCCGGAATAAACGGGACCTTTGACATTTGACACTTTGGTTGCTCTCTGTGTCCAATGGGGGTAGAGGAGGAAGAGGTCAGGTGGAAGCTAACTCCTAGGCTGGAGACTGGTCGCCAGTGAGCTGGGGCCCCTTGTTCTATGACTCAAGCTTAGAGAACTGAGGAAGGCAGGCCCAGCATTGGCGGTGGGGGTGGGGGCGGGGAATGGCACACCCCTCTCTAGGGCCAGCCCTTTGGGAAAATGGGTGAAGAGACCCAATCCAAACCTGTTCTGATCGAAAACAATTTGTTTAAAAGCAATTTGATCAAAACAACCGAGGAGTTTATCACAACAATGAAAATTGGCCTCAAACGAATATTCTCCATCGCTGGTTTTTCATTTATCGATCATGCTGGTGCATTTCAGAGCAGCCAGGCAACTTTTTAATGGGTTTTTAACAATTTGGCTGCTTTTAAGAATTTGGATGTTTTTCCTTTTTTTTTTTTTCCCTTCCTTTTACTGTGTAACTTCGAAATCATTTTAAGTGAGGCACATCTGTTCTAACTGCTAACAAAAAGCTAGACACAGCACTAAAAGTGGGTTTAGTGCCTTCAGTGAACACACCCACACCCCACGCAAGGACCCTATTTGTCTGGCAGGGGCTTGGGCAGGAATGGACTCCGACATGGGGAAAGAAATGCAAAGACAGCAAGTATTGGCGGCAGGAGCTGGGTATGAGAGGGTCGGGAAGCGACTGAAGAAGGACGGAGCAAATCCTAAGAGGCCTTGGAGATATGGCTAAAAGGGAGCTGGGAGTCACAGAAGGGGAAGAATGAGGGTCTGTGTTAGCCAGATCTCTCTGGTTGTCTGGGTGAGATGGACTGGCAGGGCAAGGCTGAGGACCAGCGAGGTGTCAGTGGGCACGGCAGTGGGAAGGAGAGCAAGGAGGTGGGGAGAGTCATCTCTGGGGCCAGGTTTTCATCCTGTGACTGAAGCTAGGAACGAAAGTAGTGAGGGGATGGTGCAGGGTGACCCACAATGCTCCCCTCAACTTATGGCGCCCACTGAGTCCGGATTAGGAACATCATGAAAAGCGCCCCAGGCCAGTCCCCACCCTGCTGATGGAGGCCAAAGAGGAGGAGCGTGTCCCCTCCTCATGGAGGACTCTCCCCTCCTCCCCATCTCTAATTAATGGCCTTCCTGATTAAATCATCTCCGCTCCGTGCTGGGATCTCCGGGAACTCGGACACAGAGGCCATACTGGCAACGAAACCAATGAATAATAAATGTGACTGCCTAATGCGCTCATTTAAAACCAATTTTTATAGAAATCTTTAAGAAAAGCAATTAATTTCCATTTAAATTAACAAGTTTGACATTGAAAAAGAATCGATTCCTGGATTAGCACGCTGAGAGGCACTTTGCTGCATACTTGCTAAAAAAAAGGGGGGGTGGGCAAGGGCTGGGATACTTAGAATATCTGCACCCCCTCACCTGACTTACATTATTTGGAGGCAAATCACTAGGGGGAGGGCAATTCATTGCTCTCTCATTCAGGATCCTCCCAAAGTAAGCTCAGGAGCCTGAGGGCTGTGAAGTTAAATAGTATTTGTCCAAAATACACACAGATTTGGAGACTCACATCCTCACAGGAGAACGGGACTGGATGCGGGTGTGTCTGTCACATCTGCACACCAAGTCCCTCAGACAGACACCCACAGGCGCTTGGCATCCCAACCGCTCATATTCTCTCTCTCACACACACATGCAACACAGGCATGGTGCCTCAGATACTCCTTACACTGTTGTTCCAACCAAGGATAGGCAGGAGAGGGTTCCCACACCCCATTTGAGGCCAAGATCATTCCCCCTATGCATGTCTTAGGCTGACTGCTGCTAACTCTGACTTGCCCTCTCATTATAGATAGGTACTTGGCTACAATGGGAAGCCAATACCCAACCCAAGGTGGTAACTGTGTTACCCCAAGTTGAGGTGACCCACTAGCCCTGCCCTACTGGCCACAAAAGCCTGGGTGGATGCATATGGCCCCAGAACCAGTTGCCATTGAGTCAGAATCGACTCATGGCGACCCCATATGTGTCAGAGTAGAACTGTGCTCCATAGGATTTTCAATGGCAGATTTTTTTGGAAGTAGATCACCAGGCCTTTCTTCCAAGGTGCCTCTGCATAGACTCAAACCTCCAACCTTTCAGTTAGCACATAGTGCGCTGACTGCACCATTCAGGGACTCCCAGTGCACATGGCAGACAGATGGAAATCAGCCCTCTGGGGAGGAGTGTGGCATGGGAAATGCTGGTAAGAGACAAGCTGAAACAAGACTACACTGTCACCATTCTACAGCCTCAATTTCGGGGCGGGAAGGCGTGGGTGGGAACGTGGAGCAGGTGAGGGAAACCACAGCTACTTAATAATGAATCACCCAGACACTGAGTGGGCTCTGGGGGCATGTTTATCTAACAGCAATTTTCTTTCTTATTAATATTTTGGCCAGTGTGCAGATATACAAGGGATATACAAGGAAAGGGGAGCCACAAGGGCAGCCGCACTATGACGGCACCCCCAGTGCCACAAAGGACACATACCTGGAGACAACCACATGCAGTCACAGACACCCACAGACAGAGCTGGTCACACGGTCACACAACACACAGCATCTCAGACATGGGGAAGCCCCTGAGCCATCCTTCCCTGGGCCCTGCATGTTGAGAGTGGGGGACCAGGCCCATTTTCTGGTGACCCTTCTCCTCCGACCACTCATTTCTGATCCTTCTCAGAGGCCCCACAGTACCAGGAGGCATGGGATCGCTTCCCCAGCCCCAGAGAACTACTGGTGCAAAAGGCAGGGCTGCTGTCTGCCTCCTGGCCCCACAGGCAATGGGAGAAGAACATTCTGCCTGGAGGTAGAGCCAACCCGCCAGTTCTTCCCACCCACCAGAGCTGAGAGGAAATTCATTAAACCTTCCTAATGACAAACAGCCTGGCAGGCAGAGCGAATGATTGCTACAGAAGTCCGCCACATGGGATCGGGCAAGGTGATTGTTTATGAGGTGGTGGAAACTCAGCCCTGGGGAGGCCTCCCTTGGGGTCGCACTGGGCAGGGCTTTATTTTGTTCAGATCCCCAAGCCCAGCCAGCCCAACATCCCGTGATCTGGGCTGGTCTGCATCCAGGAGGGGGCGCTGAGCAAGCATAACCATCTCCAACAGACCGACGCCCCGACACTGCTTGATTTAACTCCCAGGCCCCAGCCCAGACCCTGGCACATGGGCGGCTGTGGTGGGTGGGGGGGTTGATGGGCTGGTGGGTCACCTCTCAGCCACCTACCCTGGTAGGGGCCCCCAGAAAGACGGAGGAGCCGAGAGTAAGGTCCACATCATCAGCACACACACCCCTACGCCCAGCATCCCCTCTGCTCCTGGACACCCCCCACCCCTATACTCCCTATACAAGGCCTCCTTCCCCAAAGAGGCCTGGGCAAGAGCCCTGCTCTCAGAGGTGCCTGGGAGGTGGCACCCCTCCCCTTCAGCCTGGGCCCCCCCCTGCTGCCATGGTAACGGCATCCATGGAGGATGCTAGGTCTGGCAGCTGGACCTAAGAACCACCTGCGGTGGTGGGAGCAGGCCCCAGGGTGCTGGGCATGATTCCTTCTAATTGGAGAGCAGCCTGTGAGTGAAGGGGGTGCTTGTGCAGAGGAGCACCCAGGGCACAGGGTCTCAACCTGGCTCTCCCAGGACTTCCCGCAGATTCCTGGCTCCACCAGTGACCTGCTCCATCTGAGACTGAGGGAAGGGGCCCGGGCCCTGCATTCTTGAAATGCACTCTGGGGATGGCTTGACACGCCCACATTTGAGCACCACTGGGGCTGAATGGGGCCCCACCTTCCTAAGAGTCTGGCAGCTGGGAAGAATTTCTGTTAGGATGTTCCCAGACCCAGGATGGAGGAGCCACTTCCCAGGGGAGGAAACTATAGCTTGGACACTTGGGTTGATGGCAGATGTCACACCCCCAACCCCACAATGCCCCTCATACCTCACCCTCACCAGGGCAGAAATGAGACACAGGGCAGCACAGTAGTGGTTCCAAGGTTTAATATAGGGTGGGGGAGGGTGCTGCACTGCCCCTCAGAGGGGGCCCCATGGCCAGGCCACCCTGAGCCCCCAAGTCAAGGGTTTGCTTTTTGTAACTGAATAGAGGAACATGGCGTAATAGACACAACCACTCCAGGCCCTCCTGTCCCCTCCTGGACCTGGGGGGAGGGGGCGCCAGGGGCGGCCCACCTGACTAGGCCTCCTCTTTGGGACAGGTCATTGCCTGCCCTTGCGTCTGGGAGCCCCCCTCCCCCACCCCAACCTCCCCGCGGCCCTTCTGAAGTCAATTCCTTAAGATGCAAGGGAGGGGAGTCTAGCAGGGACCACCCCAACAGGGAGTAGACAGGGGCCCCAGAGCCCTTGGTCTTAAAGAGCCCCCTCCAAGCCATTTTGGGAACAATAAATACTATGTGACTTGAGCAGGGCAGGAGAGCCAGGTGGGCCAGCACCCTGCCCGCCCTGCGGGCCAGGCCTGGGCTGCCCTCAGCCTCACTCGGTGCGGAGGATGATGTGGATGCCGGAATCCGTGAACACGGGCCCGCTCATCTCCCCTGTCCGCAGCGCAAATGAGGCGTCTTCGAATGGCTTCTGCATCTGGCCTGGGGGAACCGTGAGGGACGGTGGGTGGGGGCAGGGCAGGCCGTGGCCAGGGCAGGCAGGGAGGACAGAGGGAGCAGATGGGGCTCGCGCAAGTGCCGAGCCTCAGGCTCATCTGTCACTCGGTTTATGGCCCTGTCGGTGGTGCTGAGCTGCGGCCCAGGCAGGGGCAGCAGGGCCATTAAGGAGGCCCTGGGAAGCCTTGGCTAGTGTGACGGATGGCATGCAGAGCTGCCACTGCAGCTGCTGCTGCCTTGTTTAAAGACACATTTGGGTGATGAACTCGTCTCCCCGGCCTGGTTCCCAGCCCCTGCCAGATCATCTGTCACGCCTGCCTCCTCAGCGGTAGCCCATGGTCCCTGGCCGGCTCCCACTTGAGGGCCCTGCACCCAATCTTGGGTCCCTGCCTGGATGCATCATAGGCTCCAGGGATGGAGGGAAGAAGAGAAGGAGGCCTGGTACCTCTGCCCCCACCCGCTGCCCCAGATAGGCCTATGGTTGGGGCTCTGATCTGGCCCTCCCACCCCTCACCCCTGGGTGCCCCACCTGAGCGGTCAGGGGGAGGCAGATCCTGGGAGACATGCCCTGGGCCTCTCAGGGCCCGGCCTCATAGCTCCAACAGGAGGAGAGGCAAATGACAAAACCTGCCTTGATGGGCCTGTAATGGGGACAAGTGTGCAGACACAGACCAACACCACCAGGAAGGAATGACCCCAGGGAGAAGGCTCTGCACCCCTCTCCCCAGTGGCCCCAGTGTGGACCACCCCCACCCAAGCAGGGCAGTCTCTGAAGCCTGGAGGAAGGGACTGCTGCCACCTGGTGGACCCAGAAGACAGGTACCAACTTTCTAGAAGCCCTGCCTCCCCCAACCTCTACTCCCACGGAGGGCCCCACTGGTGGGCAGAGGGTGGTTGGGGTCCCCCAGGGGCTGGCGGTACCCATTCCTTGCACACCTCTGCTGAAGGCACCCAGGTCTCCCCTGGCCTTGGCGGAGCTGCAGTCGCTGAACTGGGAGGCCAGAGATTCAAAGTCTTCCTCTCCCGACTTGATCTTCTGGATGTAGCCTGCAGACACAAGAGAACACATCAGGGGCCAGGCAGGGGTGGGATCCAGATGGGATGGAGGGCGCCAGAGGGAAAGGTGGCACTTTCAGAAATGAGCTATGCACCTCCACCCCCCAGCCTGACTGTATATGCGTCTGTGTGCATGTGTGTGCACACTCACACGCCACACACACGCACTTACACCCGCTCCTACAGCTCCCCAGACACACGGCACCCACACGCATGTGCACACACGGTCTTCCCAAACGTGCTAATGCACATCCACAAACACCTTCTCCCTGTACATGTGGGCACAACCACACATCACACCTAGAGTTACGCACGTCCATGAAGAGGTGCCCTCACCAGGCACGCACCCATAACACACACCTGCCATCCATCCACACGCGCCACCACCCCGCGCTCGACCTTGACAGCCACACAGTCTCACAACCCCCACCCCTTTATCGCTCTAACACACACACGCGTGTGCACACATGCATAATTGTAACATGACCTCCTCCCACTCCCCAACACACACACACTTTGAGAGAGAATCTACCAGACCAGGACAGGGAGGAGAGCAGGCCGGGACATGGGAGAAGTGGAAGAAGGAGGCTGGAACCCACCGCAGAGGGCGGGGACCCAGGGCGCCCAAGGGCAGGTGAGGGCGTTTTCTAGAGGGGATCTAGGAGAAAGGCAGGAGGCCAGGGCTAAAATCCAGCTTGGCCACAGGACTGGCTGAGTCCTCAGCCTCAGTTGTCCCAGCTGTTGAAAGTGGGAGGAACACCCAGTTGCTCACGGGGGTGTCATGAGAAAACTCTGAGGTGGTCCAGGCAATGCTCTGGAAGGAACAACACTTCATTCCCAGAGGCAGCCAGGCACGGCTCTTCTCCCAGATCCCCAACAGAGGAAGCACTCGCCCAGCACTAGACTCGCTCTCTGTCCAGCCCAAACCATCCCTTTCAGGTAAGGGTTCTCCCTGGAGGGGGAGGGAGGTGAGGGCTGATGGGAGGAAGGTAAAGGATGACTGTGAGGAAAAGGGCTCCCCAGCAGAGGGCGTGAGATGGCATTCCTGCATCTTGTGTGAGGGGTGTGTGTGTGTGTAAGACAGCATTCCTGCATCTTGTGTGAGGTGTGTGTGTGTGAGACAGCATTCCTGCATCGTGTGTGAGGTGTGTGTGTGTGTGTGTGTGTGTGTGTGAGACAGCATTCCTGCATCGTGTGTGAGGGGTGTGTGTGTGTGTGACGGCATTCCTGTACTGTGTGTGTGTGTGAGAGAGAGAAAGACAGCATTCTCGCATCTCATGTGAGGGATATGTGTTGTGTGTTGGGTTGGGGGTTGCTGCAAGCCACTATCCTGAGTCCAGCAGCCCCTGAGGTGGGCAGGGGCTCCGAGAGCCAGGGTCTGTCCTTCCCTAAGTGCCCACCCTCCCCCCCAACCCCCGCTCTGGCACAAAAAGGAGACTGGTTGTCCCTGCCAGTCTCCAACCCGTACCCACAGATGCAGCCACTGAGCGGGGCTCCAGAGCTCCTGGCCCAGTGCTGCAGCCACCAAGGGCCGAGGGAAGAGCCTCACAGTGGGCAGAGGCTCCTCACAGCTTTCCCCACCGGCCTGCTGCTTGCATGGCAACCCTCAGGGTATTCTCCTGTGCCTGTCTGGGAGGCCACACACCTGCCTGGCACATCTAGCTGAGCAAGGGGACACCAACCCACATCATGTTACTTCTCTCCAGATGCGAGGGTCACCCTGGCACGCCAGCCTGTGGGTCTCTTCACATCATTGTGGCACTTCCACCTGTTGCTCCTGTCTGACCTGAACAAGGCCCCGACACACCTGCCTGTTTGACATGTCCAGGGGAAATGTCATCCACTCACCCGCCTGGTACCCGTCTGAGTGCCACAATGGCATACCACTGCTTACTCTCGTCTCAATGGTGCTAGACCTGGGTGGGAGGGTGCTTTGGCAGACATACAGCTGGGGGTCTCTGTCTGACACTGGTCTGATCCAAACCTCAACGGGACACATTGGTCTAATACTCCTGTGACCTAAATGCCACCATAATCCATCGGCCTGGGCCCATGGCCGAAATGGCACGACTGTGAGAGCTCGCCTATCACTCCCACTTGGCTACCATCAGATACCATCCTGGTATCTGATCCACATGTTGCCAGGATGCAGGACCCATCGCCCGCACCCAACCTGTGTCCCCATCACTGCTGCCTGTCTGACCATCCCTTTGCTTCTCTGCCTGACCATTAGTCACCTGCCAGCAGGTCCCTGTGACACGCCCACCAGATGTCTGTCAGCAGCACGGTACCTGGCACAGAATGAGACCTTGACAAACGCGACTTGCTGTCACCACTCTCCCTTCCATGTAGACTGCATGTCCCAGCAGTGACGCTGCCCCCTCCTTCTCTCAGTCCCGTCTGGCCGTCACTGTGGATGGCACACTGCAGTGGCTTCTGCCTGCAATGCCTCCACTGGTTGGACCACCCCCTGGGCTGCTGGTGGTCTCCTTGTGTCAGACGCACCCACTGGTGATTCCAACCTGAACTGGACGTCATTGGGATACTCCGCCTGCTCCTCGCCTCCCTGGACTTCTGATGGTCCCCTCGGCCTCGCCCACACAGCCAGGGAGTCCTGACTGCACGGTGCCCCTAGGCGTACCTGCCTGCCTCTGGGATCAGGACAATCTCCACGCACGGAGCACCAGTGGAGCCAGGCCCAGCCCTGAGCCCTGTATACACATGACTGAGCAGTGTTCTCCAGATGCCTGGGATGTGGGTGCAGGCGTCCTGAGAACAGGCAGCTTGCCCAAGAGTCACACACATACACAGAGTGGGTGCAAGTGACATCAACCTAAAAACGGACGAAAAGCCAAGCATTTGTCCCCACACAGTTCACATCACCCAGCCCTTCTTCTGACCAGCCAGGTCTCAGAAGTCTTCTTTGGTGGGGAGCCTGAAATGATCTTTTAAAAAAATGCCTCCTCCTGGGTTCCCTCCCCTAAAGGCTGCCCTCCAAGATGCAAAGGAACACTCACTTCTACCGCCAGACCCCTGTGCGTCCCCTCAGCTCACTCTCTAGCCCTCCCCTGCATTTCCATCCCTCCCAGTCCCACCCCAAGGCCCCTTCTTAAGCCTCTCTTCCTGCCTGGCACTGGCCTGCTGGCCTCTGGTCTCACCCAGAGCCTTCCCTAAGACCCCAGCTGTGAAAACGCCCTCTCCGTGGGCGCCACATCTACCACTGTGCCGTCTGCGTGTCTGTCACTGGCCTCACACAGCAAGGGCAGGGCTGAGTCGGCTTTGTTCAGTGCAGCACCCAGCACCCAGGGCTGTGCACAAAACAGGTGTTCACCAATGTTTAAGGGATTAATGAATGAATGAGACAGAAACAGGCCACAGGGAAGGAGGGAGCCAGCCTGGGAGGGACTCCATAGCCAGTCTTCAGGCAGAAATCCTAGTATCTCACGCGTTTTCTATGTGACCCTTAAGTCCCAACACTAAGGAGGAGAAGAGAGAGGAAATGCCTCCTAGTCCTTTCCAGAGCAATGCCCGGCTTTGCCTGACTGCACCAACACCCTTCGCTCAGGTGGGACCCATCACCCTCACCTGGTCAGGAACCATACAGTCTCTCAAGGGTTCCCAGATGGGAGTGGGGACCTCTGCCTGCTTTGGGAAATTCCACAGCAGCGTCTGTCTTTGCTGGCAGATCACAAACCAGCCTGTCCACAGTGCATCCCCAAGGCTGAGGAGGGCTGAAGGGCTAAGGGGGCAGACTCTGGACTCCAACTGCTGGGTTCAAAGCACACCTGTACCACTCCTGTGCTCTGAGACCCTGGTAAGTGACTTTGCATCTTGGAGCCTCACTTGCCGAGCCTGTAAGATGGGGTGGTAACAGCTTCCACCTTGGAGGGCCGTTGTGAGGATTCAAGGAGTTACTACTCGGAACAGTGCCCAGTGCACAGCAGGCCCTTCCCAGACACTGGTTGTCAGTGGGCAGTCCACGCTGACTTCAGAGGTGAGTGAGTGAGCAAGCAGGGTGGGTCCTGACTCTATAAAGGTTTATGGACAAACTCCCTGCCCTGCACAGCAAATCAACACAGCTACTTCCAGCCTAAAGCCACCCAGGCATCACAGGGGAAGGGGCCTGGTCAGGAAAGAGGTGACAAGATTAGATCTGTGGTCCCAGAAGCCTCAGGCCCAGCAGGAGGGGCCCAGAGAGACCAGAGACCCAGCCTGGAGGCCAGCAGGCTGGGAGGGTACCACCAACCCCGGGGGACAGCAGACCAAAGGAGGTCATTGGTCCTCATGCCCTAGACATGTGAAGGTAGGGGGTGGAGGTTGGAGGGAGGAGCAGGTGGGGGAGGGCTTCTCCATAGCCTGGCCTCCTTAGACAAGGACACTGGCAATGACACCCAGCTGGTCCTCGGATCCCTGACAGCCTCTGGCTGCAGCCCAGCAGCTGCAGAGAAAGCGTGGTCAGGAAAAGGAGCCTCAGCAGAAAATGTGGAGGTGCTGGTTCTCGCTGCGGGCAGTCTGTCCCCTCGGGGCAAAGGGGGAGCCATATCTAAATGGATAATGATGAGCTTCAGGCTCAAGCTGTCAGCTGGGGAGTGCGCTGCCCAAACCACCATCTCCTGAGCACCTGGAACAAGTCCAGGATGGGGGAACATCCATTTCCATGGAAGTGAAAACAAGGCCCAGAGGCCCAAAGCTCGCTGACATCTGCACGCGAGTACTGGGTACCAAGTGCACACATGGCTAGGGGCCATCTCTCTGTGCCCTCGCACAGCCCTCAATGGGGGCCTGCCCTGGCCCATCTCAGGCAGGAAAATGCTGTGGCCAGGAGAGGTCATAGGCACAAGGTCATTGGAGGGTCTGCATGCTGAGCCCGCCAGGCCTCCTCCATCCCTGCCTAGAGCTTTTCCCCTGGGCGAAGGGGACGCAGCCAGGGCTGCCCTTGAGCTTCCATCTTGTCCTGAGTGACTGGGCATGGGACAAGGCTCTGCCATACAGACAGCAAGTGCCAGACACTGTGCCCATCACCCTGCTGAGCATTCTGCTCTGTGCCTCCCCCGTGTCTTCATGGCCACCCTGTCCCCATCTTACAGATGGGGCAACTGAGGCTCTGAAAGACAAAGATACTTGCTTGAGGTCACACAGCGGCCACCAGAAGCCAGCTGGGTGATCTGACCTTGTCCACCCTCTCCTAAACACCCGCACCCCTGCCCACTTAATCCCAAGCCCTCTTGATTCTGCCTCCTAAATTGCTCTAGAATCTGCTCCCCTCCTCATTCCCACAGCCTCCATCCCAGTTTGTCATATCACCTCTAGCTGCAATTTCTGTCACGGCTTCCATGGGGTCCCCAGCACAGGAAGGCACGTCTTCAACTCCTGCTAACACTCCTGAGTCTGCATCTACTCAAGCTCAGGCCTGAGGGCCCAAATGCTTGCTGGCCATGTCCCCAGTCCTCTCTAAGAACCCCCAGGTCCCCACTGTAGTGTCAGCCCTAGAGATGAGGGAGACACCCTCACCTGCCACTTCCTGGCAGTCCCATAGCCTGACAGCTTTCCTTCCAAGCCACGCTCACTCTGTCCCCTCCTCTCCGTCCCCAGTCTTCCATCACCTCTCACCAGGATTATCCCAAATGTTTCTGTCTCCAGCCCAGGACCTCTCCTCAGCTGCCTCCCCAGCATCTTCCTCAGGCCCCTCAGATTAATGAGCCCCTCGCAGGCTGGGCTTCTTCCTGCATCCCCTTTACTGGTGATGGTACCTCCTGCCACTCAATCTCCAAATGCTCATGTGTGACCTTCTGCTCACATGTACAGGTCCAGAAGCTTCAGAATATGGACCACCAGAGCTGGGAGGACCCCCAAGGTCATCTTGTCATTCTCTTTGGGCTTTCTCCACCTGCTTCCTCCTCTCCCCCAGGGGCAATGAGACCTGTGTCGCTCAGCGGCTGACCCAGCCAGCCTGGGCTCTAGGCCTTCCAGTTTCACATTCCAGCCAGAGTTCTCCTTCCTGGAGACACAGTACTGCTGGGCCCTTCTCCTGGTCACACTCCCAGGAAATGACCCCAACTCCTCTCCTCATACAGGGCCCTCCCCAACCTGGCCAGGACCTGCCCCCGAAGTCTAACCCCTACCAAGGCCTCCCCCAGATCCCTGGAGACATCCTAGCCCCACCCAGGGCTTTACTTCTGCGCTTTCCTCGGCCAGGAATCCCTCCTGCTTCCTATTAGTTCATGTAACAGTATTTTGAGAGGTGACTCCAGGCCAGGTGCTGAGTGGTGGGAATACAGTGGGGGACAGATCTGGTCCCTGCCCTCACAGAGCTCAGGCATTGAGCTCTTTAATCTGACTTTAAGGTTTCATCCAAGAACCAGGCTACTCTCTACAATGCTTATGCATATGAAACCAACAGGCGCCGTACACTGCACCAGACACAATATGATGTGTGTGTGTGCGTGTGTGTGTGCATGCATGTGAGAAATATCCTACAGGCCATGTATTGGACCAAATGAAGTGACGGGAAAACAACAGCCACAACTGACAGAGGCTGCAGTCTTTGCCAGGTTGTGCTAATAATAACACCAATAACAATAACAATGACAATGACTGCTAGTAATTATAGAACATTTACTAGACACCAAATGCTGCCATTCATGCTTTATTATATTAGCTCAGAGACCTCACAATAACCCTATGAGATGGGTCCTATTATTATTACGCTCATTTTACAGGTGAAAAAGATTGAGGCTCAGAGATGTAAAGCAACTTGCTCAGAGTCACACAGCCAGGACCTGCAGAGCCAGATCAGAACCCAGGCTGTCTGTGTGTGGGTGAGAAACTGGTTGTGTGGAGTAGGAGCAGCCCAGGAAAGCTCTAGGGTCCCTGGTAGGAGAGGGTGAGTGGATGATTAAACGACAGGAGATCCAGACCAGCAGTTTCCAACAGCACTTCCTGCAACGATGAAGTATTTTATATCCATGCTGGTCATGAGGGTGGCTAGGGAGACTCAGGAACTGAATTTTTAGTATTATTTGATTTTAATTAATTTAAATTGAAATAGTCATGTGTAGGTAGAGGCAGTCATACTAAACAGCTCTAGACCAGGGTTCTACAAACTATGGCCCATGGGCCAAATTCTGCCTGTTTTTTGTAAATAAAGTTTTATTGGAACATAGCCCTGCCCATTTGTCTCCATATTGTCTATGGCTGCCTTTGTGCTATAACAGCAAAGCTGAGTAGTTGTGACAGAGACCATATGGCCTATAAAACCTAAAATATTTACCATTTGGCTTTTTAAGAAAAAGTTTGGGGACCCCTGCTCTAGACTGTGGGAGAAACACAGATCAGGACAGGAAAGAGTCTCCTCCTTCAGGTCAGAATTCACTCACAACTCCATTGGCCTGCTACCTTTCTGACCTCCCTCCAGACCCACCGACATTTGTGACCCAGAACCCTGCTTAATGATACTACTATTAACAACAGCTCCCACGGTCTAAGGGCCTACTGCATGCCTGGCACTGCCTCATCTCACTGAATTTTCACAATGGCCCTCAGAAACAGGCATATTCTGATGCCTGTTTTTTACAGAGGAAAAGAGTGACTCTCAGGGAGGTAAGCCAAGTCCCCCAAGGTCATGGAGCTTGCAGGATCCAGCTACTACCTGAGCCCAGGTCTGCTAGCCTCCAGGGCTAGGTCCTCCACTCTACCTTGGCTTACCCAGGAAATGCCAGAGGGAAAGAAAAAGGAGAAGTGGCTGTGTGGGCCAGGTTCACATTACGCACAGGTTCTTCTGTGTCTGTCAACACCGTGCCTGATGGTAGGGACAAGCTGCGGCACAGGGGCCGTTCTGATTTCCACAAGGCTTGCTCTAGCCCCCCAGGTGGAGGACCCCATCCTGAGACTCTGTCCCCAGCCCTGCTCACCATTGATCAGCTCCAGGGCCTCCTCCTTGGTTCGGGTGATCTTCTCCTGCCGCCAGGACGAGGGCCGCCGTGACTGGCTGTGTTTAACCAGCAGGTGTGAGCAGCGGACCCTGGTAGGCTCCCCCTGCCCATTTTTGCCACCACCACTGCTGTTGCCGCTGGGCCGCTCCCACTGGCTGGCATTAGTGATGTGATTGAAGTAGTACACCCGGCCTGGAGGGGAAGAGAGATGGGAAATCAGTTAGGGCTGTGCTCACAGATGCTACCCTGGAGCCTTAACCAGAGGCCATCCTGGGGCCCTAACCACAGGCTAGGATAAGGACACGCCTTCATTCAACAAAACCACTGTGCACCCACCAGGTACCACAGGCCCTGGGACACTGGGGGCAATCTGGCAGGATATAACCCTGCTGCAATGTGATGGGTTGCTTTTATATGGCCTTTCTTGCCGTGGTCTTGTAACCCCCACCAAATGACTGGGTGGGACCATTCAAATAAGATGTATGGAACCCTAACAAATGGATTAGTCAGTTTTGCTGTTCCGCTAGGCTTAAAATGAGCCATCCCACAGGCAGAAAGGGGGGACCTCACTACCACCAAGAAGAAGAGACGGGGGCAGAGTGTGTCTTTTGGACCCAGGGTCTGTGCACTGAAAACTTTCTAGACCCAAAAGACAGAGAGAGAGCTGTAACACTGGAGACAGTGCAAGATGGCGAGAAGCGGCAGCACAGAAACAGCAGCAACAGAACCAGGAGGCTGGTGCAAGATGGCGCAGTGGGCTTCCCAACCCACGGAGTAAGGCAGTTACAGTGGGTGTGCGAACTCACAGAGTGAGAGAGCTAAGCACTTTTGGGCAGGAGGCTTCCTGCGGGAGTAAGGTGCCTTCAGGCAATTATTAGCAGAGCTGAAGAGCTTTATAACACTTGCCTGAGCACAGCCAATGGGCTCAAACACAGCAATCACTGTGAGGATGGCGTAGGACCAGGCACTGTTTTGTTCTGTTGTACACAGGGCTGCTATGAGTTGGAACTGACTCAACAGCACCTAACAACAACAACTTCCCTAATACGCTCCATAACTATGAGTATGATCTGTGGATTGTTTGGCCATTTTAACAGACTATCAAACCCAGCAGAGTAGCAAAGAGTGCTGTGGGAGGGATGGCTGGTGTCAGAACTGGTAAAAAGTGTGGAGAGAGGAGGAATGTCTGACCTCCACCTCACAGGAATCAGCCTTAGGCTGATGCTGATGGTGATTCTCTCTCCCCATCATGAAGTTAGAGGAGGTCAGATGTTCCTACCATGCCATTTTTAACACTTGCCCTTAGGGAGCTAACATTCTAGGCGGGGGCAGACAGGCACTAAACAAGCAAATGAGATAACTTCAGTCACTGATAACTTCAAGGAGGAAAATAACCCAGGGAAGTGGAACAAAGTAAGCCTGGGAGACGGGAGTGATTCGAAGTACGCACTTGGCAGACCGCCTATGTGGGCTCAAATTCAGTCCTGCCACTTACTCAGTGATCTACCTTCCACGGACCTCAGTATTCTCACCTGTAAAATGGACATAACAATACTTGACTGTATAGTTGTCATAAACACTGAATGAGCTTACATCTGTAAAGTGCTTAGAACAGCATCTGGAACACATTAAGAGTGTGATAGCTATTAACTCCTTTTATAGACGACAAAATTGAGGCCTCACCTTCCCCATCTTTGGTAATGGCAGTAACAAGTAATGTTTCCTTTCTGTTTACTCTGCTCCAGGCACACACTTGGGCCCAGCACTGTTAAGGGCTGGGTATCACCCCTGAGGAAGTCTATCAGGGTCCATCTGAGTAGAAATGGCAAGAATGAGGGCCCAGAGCTGGGCGGAGCATGAGGTTTATGCTGTAGGTGCCCATCAAAGGCCAGGGCAGGAGCAGGGGGGGCAAGAGCATGGGCTCTGAGGACAAATTCAGTTGAGCCATTGACTGACTCTAAAATCATGGCAACGGGCTCTACCTCCCTGAATCTCAGTTTTCTTATCTGAAAAGTCGGGAGTAAGAGAATAATGACATCAAACCTCATGGAGTTAATGTAGAGAGTTGATGACGATGCATGCGATGTGCTCACCGGAGTGCCAGACCCATAGTAAACACTCTAAGTAAACAGGAATTATCACCGAGGTTACTAGAAGCACTGAGGCAACGAGATGACCCCCACATATACCCAGGGAAGCTGGGTTTGCTCGTCAGGAGCTTGCAGTGAAGTGGCCATGGGCAAGGGGCTCAAGAGCCCAGTCCCCATCCCCTGAACTAAATGACCTCAGGCGAGTTCCTTAAGCTTTCTGGCCTCAGTTTCCTCACCGACAAAAAGGGGGTAATAACTAATCTCCCTCCCACAATTGTGGCTTGGAAAGAACACACTTAAAATGCTTGGCAAAACGCCTGGCGCAGAGATAAACCTGGCCTATTACTGGGGATAACCTTTAAATCCAGCCCAGGGCACAGGGGCCAGCTTCAAGCAGGATAACCGGGGACATCGCAGACTCAGCATTAGATGTGGATGCCAGGGGTTATGGCCTCTGGGCCGGGAAACACCCTCGGGCCACACCCTAAGCATGGGGTTGGGGTATCTCCCAGGGATGCCGCCGTGCCCGGTGGGGTGCAAAGATGTCCACTCACGGGACGTCAGCTGCATTAGGCCCCGGAGTGTCAGCCGGTGGGCACGGCCAGGGCCATCGCCCAGGGTGTGTGCGTGCTCACCTGCCCCTCACCCGCCCCGCTGCGCGCTGGGCCTCCTTGGCCCCGCCGTGCCTCAGTTTCCCTACTCCTGAGGCTCAGAGCCCACACGGGGTGGGCCGGAGCCGTTCCCCGGGAACCACGCGGAGAAGCCAGGATCCCACGGGAAAGAGGCGGTAGCGCCGCGCCCGATGGGCGAGCTCGAGCCCTGCTTCCATAGGCCCGCTTGGCCCTATCCGAGCCCCGACCCCCGCGGCACCTGAGCTGCGGCTCATGCGCTTCTCCCAGCCGGGCGGCAGCTTCTCCTCGTCCGCCATCTTCCCTCCTGTCGCAGCGCTCGCTCCCCCCACGCCGCACCACCTATGTCTCCCGCGCCCGCCCGCCGCCGTCGCTGATTGCTCAGTGCGCCCCCGTACCCGGGCCTTGAGGCGACGCTCATTGGACACTCCAACCGTCGGGGACTCGCTTCCTGGCTTCCTATTGGACAGAAGCGAGGGCGGGTGGCTCCTCCCACTTTTAACCTGGGCCCCGCCCCCGGTCGGCCTCACCCCAGCCCCGCCCCCTCGGCTCCTAAGTGGCGGGGGATAGACGCAAGGCCGGCTTTCTCAACGCCCTTAGGCGAGCTCCAAAGAAGTCCCGACCACTACTTTGCGTCCTTCGCCGCGCAGCCCACACGGGCAGGATACAGCTTACTGATTGGCTACCGCAGTGGCAATTCCCACCTTCGTAAACCGTTCCCGAAGGCACTTTCTACCCACGCGGAAGTGTCTGGTGTTTGGCTGGTGTGGGTATAACGGTAGCCGGCGAGGTACTTGGGATCGGCGGTGCTGACTTTTCTGTTGCCATAGCAACGCAGTTGCCTTGGTGAGGAGTAGCTAAGAATCCAGAAACCTAAATTTGGTTCCTCCATCCTCCCTCGTCCCACCTGTTTCCTCCAGATGTCCAAAGCTAACCCGTCTCCATTTATTCTGTACAAGGCTAACACTTCTCTATGCTACTGACCCAAACACCTTCCATCTCCTCTGCGACCTACTTAAACATCACATTCTCTGTCAATCTCAATCTTTCATCGTCCTGGATGACTGGTGGGTGCTGGCATTCCCACTCGGATGGGAACACGTTTGTGGGGGAGGCGTGAGGAGGGGGAGGGGGAAGGATGACGAGCTCAGTTTGAGTCAATTTAAAATTGAGTCTGCGGTGCCCGTGGGACATTGAGGAGGTGGTTGGAGACTCAGCTCCGGGTAACCGTGGGCTGGAGAGAGATACAGGAGTCACATACCAAGAGAAGAGTTCAATGACAGTTCATCTATAGCACGTACCCAATAATAACCATTTTAAAAATGTTGCACAGTAACATGAACGCACAGGGAAACATGTCCACAACGAATTAGAGGCAGGATATGGTAGAAAGTTAAGAGCACACTCTGGACCCAAACTGCTTGGGTTCAAAGCCACTTGCTATGACCTTGAGCAGATTACTTAGCCTCTGCACTTCAGCTTCCCCATCTGCAAGATGAGGATAAGAAATAATACATACCTCATCAGTTTGATGTGACGTTAAAATGATGCTGGGTGAAAAGAGCAAGTCACAGCACAGCAATTATACTAGTATGGATGAAAGCAAAAGAAATAAAGAATACCAATTGAAAAGAATTACTATTAGATTACTTGTATGGAAAGATGTCAAAAATACAAAGCATAAAAGTTGTTGAACAGTAGAGTATTAGAATATGCATAATTATCTCAATTGTGTGAAAACTGTAGGTTTGTATCACAGAAAATTTCTGGATTCATTCAAATATGTTAATGACTGCCACTAGTAAAGGGGGTGAAGGAAGAAATAAGGAACTTAATTTTTAATATGACATTTGGATTTTTATAAGCATGTACTAGCATAATCTTTTTAAAAAGAATTTTTGAGAATTTTAGATTTAGAGCAGAGTTGTATTAGTACTACAGAGTTCCCATACACTCTTCACCCAGCTTTCCCTTCTGTTAGCATCTTATATAACAATAAAATAGTTCTCAGCCAGGGCAATTTTGCCCCCTAGGAGACAGTTGGCAATGTCTTTAGACATTTTTGTTGTCACAAATAGGGGAAGGGGAATGCTACTGGCATCTAGTGGGTAGAGATTTTCTTAGTTATCTAGTGCTGCTGTAACAGAAATACCACAAGTAGATGACTTTAACAAACAGAAATTTATTCTCTTACAGTCTAGGAGGATAGAAGTCTGAATTCAGGGCACCAGCTCCAGGGAAAGGCTTTCTCTGTCAGTTCTGAGGGAAGGTCCTTGTCATCAGTCTTCTACTGGTCTAGGAGCTTCTCAGCGCAGGGACTCCAGATCCAAAGGAAGCACTCTGCTCCTGGCACTTCTTTCTTGGAGGTATGGGTTCCCTCTCCTCTCGGCTTGATTCTTTTATATCTCAAATGAGATTAACTCAAGATACAGTCTAATCCTGTAGATTGAGTCCTGCCTCATTAACATAACTGCCTCTAATCCTGCCTCATTAACATCATAGAGGTTAGGATTTATAACACATAGGATAATCATATCAGATGACAAAATGGTGGACAATCACACAATCCTGGGAATCATGGCCTAGCCAAGTTGACACACATTTTTGGGGGACACAATCCATAACAGAGGCCAAAGATGCTGGCTAGACATCCTACACTACACAGTACCGCCACATACAACAAAGAATTATCCAGCCCAAAATGTCAATAATGCCAAGGTTCAGAAAACCTGCCATAGAATAATTATCAAAACTAAGAAATCAACATTGGTACAATACTATTAGCTAAACTACAGACTTTTTTCTGGATTTCCCCAGGTTTTTGAATAATGTTTTTTTATGTCCCAGAATCTCTCATTGTCATGTGTCCTTAGTCTCCTCCAATATGTGACAGTTCCTTGTCTTTCATGACTGTGACACTTCTGAAGAGTAGAATGTCTCTCATTCTGATATGGTCATGATGTGTTTGTCTAATTTCTCACAATTAAATTGAGTTATGCATTATTGGAAAGGATACTAAAGGCAATGTGCCCTTCTTGGTGCATCATATCAGGTGGTAGATGATTTTGAAATGTATTACTGATTGTATTAGGTATCAACTGCTGCATAACAGATCACTCAACAACTCAGTGAATGAACATTTATTATCTCAGTTTCTGTTCAGTCAGCAGTCCAGGCACAGTTTAGCAGGATGCTTCTGCCTCAGGGTCTCTTACAAGCTGTAATCAAGGTGTTGGCAGAGGCAGCTGCAGTCTCATCTGAAGGCTTGACTCTGCCAGGATCTGCTCCAAGCTCACTCATGGGGTTGTTGGCAAGATCCAGTTCCTCACAGGAAGTTGGACTGAAGGCCACATTCCTCACTGGCTGTTGGCTGGGGCCCTCTCCATAAGACAGCTTGCAACATGGCTGCTGATTTTCGTCAAAGAATAAGTGAGAAAGCAAGAGAGCAAGCAGGATGGAAGCCACAGTCTCTTTGCAACCTAATCTCAGAAATCACATCACACCACCTACATTCAAGAGGAGGGGATTATACAAGGGTGTGACTACCAGGACATGGGGATCATCAGGAGTCATCTCAGAGGCTGTATACCACATAGGATATTACCTTTGACCATTTGCTTAAGGAGGTATCAAAACTTACTGTTTTTCTCTTCATAATGAATAAATATTTAAGGGAGAAACTTCGAGATTATGCAAATATCCTACTTCTGCTTAACTTTCAGCCACTAATTTTACCATCTATCAGTGGATCTTGCCTATGGCAATTAGTACTGTGGTGTTCCAATGGTGATTTCTTATCTCTATACTTCTACATTTATTTATTGGAATTCTTCTGTAAGAAAAAGTTCTCCCTTCTCCACATTTATTTATTCAATTACTTATTGATACTGGAGTCCCTAGGTGGTACAAACGGTTAGCTGCTTGGCTGCCAACCAAAAAGCTGGTGGTTTGAGTCCACCAAGAGGTACCTCAGAAGGAAGGCCTGGCAATCTACTTCTGAAAAATCAGCCATTGAAAACTATGGAGCATGGTTCTACTGCAGCACACATGGGTTCACCATGAGTCAGAGTTGACTCAATGGCAACTTTTTTTTTTTAATTAAAATGGGCTCAAGGATATTTCATTCTTTGGATTATAATCCAATACTATCATTACTTTGTTGCTTAATTTGTTGCAAGTTCGGCCATTTGGAGTCCTTTCAGTTTGGTTCCTATGCCCTTTCAACATGCTCCCATCCTTTTTATTTGGGCACTTCCTACTTTCTGGCACCACAAATTGTTCCAGGCTCATCTTGTATTTTCCCTGCCCAAGCCCTGGAGCCAACCACTTTTCCCAGAAGCCCTGGTTCCTTTTATCGGAGAATGGTATTTAGAAACCAAGATCTGAGTGCAAGGTATGCTCATCACTATTGGGGTGTCACTGCTTCTGGTCCCGCTCAGTAGATAAAAAGAGGAAATATGTGTGTGTGTGTATGTATATATATGTGTGTATATATATGTACACACACGTACACACATCCATGTTTCTGTGTCTGTATACATATTAAACACAGTCAGGAGTTCATACTGATACCTCCAATTTTAGTCCAGTCCCACAGGGTTCATTCCAGCCTTTCCCCATTTTATTTGTAACTTTTACTTCTAGCAGTGAGAAACCTGGCTCTCATCTATAATAGATTTACTTATTTGTTCAACCCTAGCATGTATGTGTACACACACACACACACAAAGGTAGTTTCAGAATTGCTAACCCATACCCATACGAAGCTGGGTATTCCAGAGAAGCAAAACCAGTGAAGCATATATAAAAAAACCAAACCTACTGCTGTCAATGCAATTCCAACTCACAGCGACCCTATAGGACAGAGTAGAACTGCCCCATAGGATTTCCAAGGAGCAGCTGGTAGATTCGAACTGCAGAACCTTTTATCAGTTGAGCTCTTAACCACTGCGCCACCAGGGCCCCTGAAGTATATATATGTAAATATATATATAGAGATTTATCTCAAGGAAATGGCTCACATAGTTGTAGAGGCTGGCAAGTTCCAAGTCCGTGGGTCAGACTGGGTCAGACGTCAGGCTGGAGGCTTCTCTGGACTCAGAAGCTGCAAAAATTGGTGGTAGGGGTGGGTCCTGGGGACATTTAGCAATGTCTCGTAAGGCATCTGCCCCAGGCAATGACTCAGACAAAGGCTCTTCAGACACAGCTGAGTTAATCTCATCAAAGGGGGATGGATGCGATAATGGTTTTACTGGGGAGGGTGGTTTAGCAGACAAAGATGGACTACTCTCTTCAGATGGGAGTAAGAGGGCTGGTTCTGTTGGCAGGAGTGATTCAATGGAATTCAGGGGTTCAGTGTCCCCAACTTCCTGATTATCTGTTCATATGTCCCCATCCCAAGTTTCAGGATCCCATTTCTTCCCAATCCATGCCCTCACTTTAACTTCAGACACCACTTGAGGTTGGGAATTCAGTTGGTGTTGTAATTACAGCCACTCTTATGATAAGACTGCGTTTGGTTTTCAGCAATATTATCTCTATTACTACAAGAAATAAGGCTTTCTTTCAGGGCACAAGTGGAAACTTTGAGATCTTTTATGTCGTGCTTTTATGACTCTGAAGCCCTGAGCTCATTTTTCTTTCATTACTTTGCGTAGTGAAAGTAGGACCAACCAACCAGCTTCCCTATACTTCTCGCTCTGACAAAATTGTAGAAAAGTATCAAACGTGATCACCTAGAGCCTCGCTCCTCACCAATACTTGATCTGTTTTTAGTGATATTTTGTTTATTAATATTGCCACCTCACATCGTGGATTAGCAGTGCCGTTTTTACTACTGGAAGCAGAGTCATCAGCACCTTCTAGACTAGTCAGACTTGAGAACCAATTTAGAAAACTCATTCCTAAGATTTTCTCTAGAACCACTCTCGGTACCAAATGTCACAATCTTGCTTGCTGCAAGTGAAGAGGACTTGGAGGACTTGAAGCACTTATTGGTGAAGATCAAAGACTACAGCCTTCAGTATGGGTTACAGAACAAAAATCCTCACAACCAGACCAATAAGCAACATCATGATCATGATAAACAGAGAAAACATTGAAGTTGTCAGGGATTTCATTTTACTTGGATCCATAATCAATGCCCATGAAAGCAGCAGTCAAGAAATCAAATGACATATTGCATTGGGCAAATCTGCTGCAAAAGACCTTTTTAAAGTATTAAAAAGCAAACATGTCACTTTGAGGACTAAGGTGCACCTGACCAAAGCCATATTTTCAATTGCCTCACATGCATGCGAAAGCTGGACAATGAATAAGGAAGACCAAAGAATTGATGCTTTTGAATTATGGTGTTGGTGACTACCACAGATCCATACAGGACACTTGCATCACGCAGAAGTTACCCTGCACTGCCCTTTTATGTAAAAGAACAAAACCATCAATAAAAATAATAATTAAAAAGCATGAGATCATTAATGGAAAGATGTCAAAGATAAAGCATAAAAAAAGCAAGCTGCCAATGATATATGAGTACAGGGGTTCCGTTCCCACGACCCTATTGTAAGTCTGTTCTGATGTAAGTCGAATATGTTGAATACGAATACTCGAATACGTTTAAGTCAGGAATATCTGTTACAGTATGTATAATTATCCCAATTGTATAAAAACCATACATTCTATCTCAGAAAATTTCTGGATTTACTCAAATATGTTCATGATGGCCACTGGTGGGGATGGTATAAGAAATACAGTTTATAACAAGCACTTGGATTTTTCTAACAAGCATGCATTAGCATAATAATCTTTTAAAAATTAAAAGTAAAATGGAAGTTTATATGAAAGCATTGAAAAAGGCCTGACCTCAGGAAAGAGAATGGAGAGGGTTTTCATGTTTAGCCTGTTCACTTCTGTGCCGATTTGAAATTAAGAAGGAATCACCTCATTAAGCCAGTTATATAATTGAGAATTTTTTGTTTTTAAACAGAGCCAGTTATGGGGGAGACTGCGTAGCAAGAGTAGGAAGAGCAAGGGTACCAGGAGACTGACATTTCTGACATGTCAGGAGGAAAAGGAGTCCCAAAGACAAGAGGGAGCCATGGAAAGTGAGTGGGGAGAGGCACTAATGGAGATCAAAGGGAGACCATCTTCAGTGAGCTACAGACAAGTAGCATCCCATGTGGCAGGCAGGTCCATCCTCCAAGAAGCCGGGTGGTGAAAGAAAGGCAAGCGGCTGGGTGGAACTTCGATGGGGTACTGATGGAGCAAGATTCTGGGGGAGGGTTTCCAAGGAGCAAGGAGGGGATCCAGAATGAGGCTGGGCCCAGGTCCCTCTCCTGCTTCTAGGAGTGGACAGGGCCAAGGTTAACACCAGGATGTGTGAACAGAGGAACAGAGGTGTTTGGTATCTTGTCTACTCACACATGGAGGAAGACGAAGGACAGCTAATAGCACCATGTGCCAGGCAGTGTGCTGTTTTTAATTACATTATCTCACTGAGATGTAAATACCATCATGGTGTCCTTTTTAGGGAAGGAAACAGGATCAGAGGTTGACTTCCTCGAGTCTCATTGCTAATGATCAGTCAGAATTCGTACCCAGTTGGTCTGGCTCCTGAGGCTGGAATCTTATAGCCTATGCCACACTATCTTCCACTGTCCACTACAGTCATTTTTTATTTTTGAAAGTGCCAGCAACTGTGGATGTTTAAGCATACTTTATGTTATCTACGCTTTACAACACACCAATGAAGTAAACACTATTAGTTCTAGTTTTTGAATAAGGAAATGAAGACTTAGGGAGGTTAACCCTAACTTGCTCAGGATCACTCAGCTGTTGGCGGCAGAGCTGGGATTTCACCCAGGGTCTGTGTGAATCCAGAGCCTCTATTTCTAACCACTACATCTACTGTCCCCACCCAGAGGCTCCCTGGTCTATTAGGGTGACAATAATCCCAAGCCTGGACCCTTAGAGACCCAGGGCAAGCCCCAGAGCTCTGGGCTCCCACTCTGCTAACTTACTCTTCCCACACGACTCGGTCAACAACTCTTACTGAGCAAATGGGCGCTGAGGGTACAGTGACGACCAGACAGGCACCAACCCTCCCCTTCATCAGATAGCTATGACATGAAGATGACAACACTAAAGCAGCATCTAAGTTTTTATTAATGTGAGTTTTTAAAAACAAGCATCCATACCAGTGTGTGGGGAAGGGCAAGGGGAGGGCAAAGAAGGAGGAAGGAATTCTGTCTTATTGGTAATACAGCTCCAGGTTCATCCCATCGTGGATTTCATCTGAAGTGAAGGTGTTAAGGAATCCTCATGGTGGGCTCCAACCCCACTCCTTTCATCAACTCACAGCTGGGTCAGGATGAAGATCAGCCCAGGGCTAAGAAAGCCAATTTGGACTGGCCCATTTTGATTTGGGGAGAATCCAAAATATAAAAACAGTTCATGCTCCAGTGCTTTGCACAACAAACATGCCTGAGTTTCACTCCACCCTGGCCTCCTACCCAAAGCTCAGGTGCAGCAAGAAATGTTTACTGTACCCAGTGCTCAGTAAGAAATATTTTGAACTCAGTGTTTTCTAATACTAGTCAAAATATTCACCAGCCAACCACTCCCCTCCCCCAACAAAACAATTACATGACTTCTTCCTTCTAAATGCTTACCATGTGCCACATACTAAATTAAACACCTTATGTGCGTAAGTCGTTTAGACTCTGGTGTTGAAGTAGGGCGGGTATGCAGACCCATCTTCAAGAAGTCACACAAAGGATACAGTCTCCCAGACACACGTGGTCCTTAAAAATGGTGTACCTATGGGAGAAAGACCTTTCAGAGAGGGGCCCAGGAGGCCCTTCACCCTAGAGACAGGCTGAGGAAGCTCTGCCTAAGCAAAGGGCTGCCTGCAGCGTTTCCCCAACCCAACCTTCTGGCCCCAGCTCTACCACTGCACTCACCACTTCTTAAGGACAATCTTGTTCCAACGGGTGCCAGTTTGGGCTGCAATCAACTTCTTAAGGTCCCCGATGGTGTCATCAGTGCTGGGCGCAGAGGAGTTAAGGAAAATGGAAGAAGGTCGGGCAAGGAAGAGGGGATTCCAGGGCTGAAAGCGCTCTGCCAGGACCCCATCTGCTTCCGCCCCTGGGTTTAATTAAAACCACCCCACAACACCGACTGAATGTCTGCCTCGTGCCAAGCACCCCCAGGGACCACTGCCTCTCGGTCGCCAAAGGATACTTGCATTTAACGCGGACCTTCTTCCCCAGACGATCGTTGCAAACCACCTCAATCATCCTGGCTGGAGCTACACAGGGCAGGGGATGGGAAGCGGCGAAAACAAGATTTCAGGGGTTTCCCAGATCTCTAAAACGTCAGCCTCCATGTCTCTCAGGTCCCCAAGCTCCCCAGTCACTGGGTCTTCCGCTCACCTCCCCCACCCCACACCGTCGAACTTGAGTCCTCCCCGGCCCTAAGTCCGGTGTCCCAGGTCCGCGGGCCTCCGGCAATCGCGTCTCCGCCCCTTTATGTCGCCTGAAGGCCCAGCCCCTGGGTTCTCTGGCGTCCAACCTCGACTCTCGCAGTCCTGCGGAACCTCGGCGGCCCAAACCCATCAGCTCTCCGCGGCCCCGGGCCCCTCCACCCGGCCCCCTTACCTCGAATCTCCTAGAAGGTACCGACGCCACAACCTCGGAGCTTGAACACAAAACCTGGCCGCAGACGTCCCTGGGAGCCGGAAGCGGAAGTGCGGAACTCGGGGGCTCCGCCCCCTGACCGCTCCGCCGCGAGCCGGGTGTTTTTTTTAGTTCTCGGGCCTGGATGTTGGCTCTGGGTTCCCAGTTGCAGCTTCAGGGTCCCGAAACCCGACAGGCGGACGCCTGAAGTCGGCGCGTGGGGCCGAGCAGGGATCCCAGCCCGTGTGGGGCTAGGGAGGAGGCGTGGAGGGATAGTCAGGTCAGGGCCGGCGCGGGAGCCGTTGGTTGAGGTGCCTTCGCTGTGGGCGGACTGTGTCAGTTGGTGAGGAGGCCGGAGGGGCCCGGGAAACATCCCAGGAGGACCTACCGTTTCTGAGCCCGACGAAGCGTTTCACTGCAGCTTCGGGGCTACGGGAACAGGGATCGAATCCTGCGACATCCGGTCCAGCCCTCATCTTCATTCAGGGCTGAGTTCGAAAGAGTTATGTTCACCCCTCACCTCTGACTATAGTGTCTC